CCCTAATACCTGATATGATTTAGAATGGTGCAATTCCATCAGGTTCTTAATCCAACTGGCTCAGTAATAAATCTTTGACACCGTCCTCCTCAAATGCCTTTCATAATCACCAAAATGAAGAATTAACTAATGTATGATATTTTAAGCTCGACATCATCTCCAAGCGACATATTGCTCTAGTCATTTTTTAGAGAGTTTACTCTGAAGTTCTGAATAATTACCAGCCCCTAATACAAAATTAGTGATCAGGGATTATGCATTAGGACAAATGTGTAAGTTGAAAATATTATCTCTTGGAAAAAATGTAGCACCAATACTTAGGTTAATACAAAATGATCATTAATCAATAAATAAGTTCAATTAAATTTTCAAAAGTGAAAATTTCTGTTTTAGGTAACATGATACAGATGTTATTTATCAGAGCCCTTTTCCAGAAACAAGCCCCCTAAAACAATGAGAATAAAAAACAAAAGAGAATCATGTATACATACACATATTATTATAAACTATATATGTATATGTTATATATACATATATTATTATATAATTTTTATTTCAGTATTATTTCTTGATGATTGGAAATATCTGTTTCCTTTCCTTTAACAATATAAAAAAACACATGGAAATTCTACTTTTTCAAAACAAAATTCCACCTATACTCTCCCCTGATACACCCTCTACCTTTACCTCTAATCCTTTACTCTAAATGAGATCTTTAAATGTATATATTCGTTTGTTCCTCCATTTATACATTTCTCATCTCCCGTTATGTCCTATCATTGCAAATTGCCAAAGACAGAGCTGCCTTGTCTTTCTGACCCATATTCTTACACCTACTATTTCTATCTAAAGGAAAAAGCAACCAAAACAAACCAAAACAACAACAACAACAAAAGAACAATGAAAGTGTTTATCTGATGTCTGGCCAATGTGTTGAATATGCAGAAATTTCAGGGTTCAGATTCAGTGTGGGAGCACCCCAACACCTTTGCCATGTGTTTACTTCTGCTTGATGTGTCCTCAACCAACATATGTATGAATTCATGTGTTTGCAACAATATTCGACAGGTTAAGACTCTGGTTTCTTTCTTTAGTCTAATCCCGTCTCTTCTCAAATTTAAGGGATTATAAAATATAGATGAAATTTTAGCATTATTTTTATATGTCTTTTTTTCCTCATTATAAGCAGAACAAATAAAACATATGAATACACTTAAAATGGTATATTTATAAACACATTTTAAAATATAACACAACAAAATATTTTATATATACCATATGTGCACTATACTATGGCCAAGTTCATTTTATTCTCTTTACCAGAAAAGCTCTTCTACTCTATCTCTAAATTTTCCATTGAAAAACAGCCATTTCAAATATCAGTTATAACACAAATTTGAAAGCTAAAATTTATTTTGGGTTGTTTTTACTGAAGCATTATCATATTCTATTCTTTTTATCTGTAGATTTTTAAAAATTAGTCTGATCATACAATTAATGGTTAAATAACAATGGGCAGAGTCAATCTTTCATTCATCTTTGAATCCCAGAATTTAGCCTCATTTCATGTGCAACTGTTGGCTTCTATATTCTCTTAGATAAAAGCACTATTTAAAGAAATTCTCCATTATTTGGCTACTATAAGTTAGTGACTTGTCAAGATCATGAGAAGACATTTGTGGCAACTTTTTGTGATATTGGATACATTGAAGAAGCCTTATAGAAAAGAATTCTTTAGGAATACAATTTCAGTTGAAGCCAGTTTTAATTGTAATCTACAATGCTCCTGAAGAAAATGCTTTTACTTAGGCCAACTATAAAAATTCAATAAAACTAAAGACTTACCAGTCAGAGGAAATAATTGTCTCATCCAAATTGTATTCTGTGTACTTTTTTGCAGGAGATAATCCCAGCCAAATGTCATATAACTTTTGAGATGTTACAAATTCCTACAAGAAATAGAGATGGTTTGTTAAAATAATTGTCTCCATGTCTGTATATTACCTCACAACATAATTTCTCACAAATTACTCTCAAGGTAACATTTTTAACATTATACTATTACTTTTCGATGTCATTAAAGAAAATTGAGACAAAGTGTTCTTTTTTGTTTGTTTCGTTGGGTTTTTTACTACAAGATTTCCTCTAGTATTTATACATCAGTTACTGTCTCACATAAAGCAGAATCTACTGGTTCATGCATAACCTTAACTTAGGGTCAATGAAGTTCACGAATTTCAGGTTTCAAATATTGAGCAGTAAATATTCAGTCTGGGGACAAAGAGATGGTTAATTACTGTAAACACATGTTTATGAAAAAAGAAAGAGTAGGAGAGAAATGTAGCAAAGTCAGATTAGAGAAGTGATTATAGAACAGAATTTAAAACCAGTCCAGATTTTTGTAGCTATAGTAAGTTTTTTTCCTTATATTCCAGGTATTTTTTGAGTAAATAACTATGAATGGATCATTTGAGAAATGGATCAGATGAGGAAAAGCTATGGATTGATTTCTTTCTCTTCTAATAAAGGAGGACAAAGATGCTTAGAATTGGGAAGCTGAGACATTTGGGGAAATGATTTTTTTTTTTTTTTTTTTGCTTAAAATAAATATGTGATTACTGAGAGACCAGAAATGCTGAGTAAAAAGAAAAATATGGAGATACTATTTAGACATTAAAAAAAAAAAAAGGAAATAAATACATAAATTTATTTACATAAATAAATCTTCCAGAGAACTCACTTTTTCTTGGACCTAGGAACTCAGTGCAGTATATCTGCTAGGCACTTGCTTTTGCCACCTCATTTAATTCTACTTTTTAATGTATATTTTATGCAAAGTTTCTTCTTTACTAGTATATGTTGGCTTTTTTTCTTAGTTAAAAAAAAATGTAAAGTGACAGAAACAAAGAATCTCCTCCAATGTAGATTTTATGAAATTGGTAACCCTTGGGAGTAATTTCCAGATCTTCTGTTTTTAGATAAATGCTCAGAAATTGTGTTCTGAAAGTGAATCCTAAAGTTCCAGTTTGGAAATGCTCACAGACCTAAAAATTCTGGGTGCCCTTTATCTACTCACCAGCCCAGACTCGGAGATTCCACTAAAGCTAAGGTCCTAAGCTAAAGTTTTATAAATGCTACCTTAGCTGTGCTACCCTGAGATAAATGTACTAAGTCTCAGTCACCTCATACCACAACTAGAATAGGCCAGAATTATGTCTGGATTAATATGATGGGGAAAATGGCTTCCTTCCTCACAAACAGAGATCTACAAGACCTTACCAATATACTTTTGTTCTTAATCTTCAACAGGCTGGCATTGTAAGCAGAACATAGCAAGCCACTGTTTTGCCATGTGTCATAATTTTTAACTAGTATATAACAGCGGTCCTTATGCCACGTCCAGTTCTTTGGACAAGGTTTACATTTGTGCTCTGGAAGAAGAAAGTAGTTTTACTTGGTGTATGTTGATAATCTTCATTATTCTTATTATTCCCATTGTCCTCTATGTTAAATTAAACAAATTTATTTGTTTTTCTTCTATTTGTGTCAAAGGTGAAGAGAATGAATCTGTGTTTCAGGCCCCTATAAACCACCACAATGTGTCCAAAACATAATTTAAACAACACGCTTCGAATTAAACGCTTGGATTCCAGTATATTTTCCTACCTCAGGAGCCCTGCATAATAATTTTCTTCTCTCCCTTTGTCATTTTTTTTGTATTACTACATGATGATAAAAGCTAATCACAGGAAAAATTGTGTCATGAGAATCAACCCAACAAACATACATCAATTCTGCTTTTTTCAGCTAGAGCATTTCTAGTTCTCTTACTTGTTGAATATTTGGAAGATTTTGCAAAAGCACAAAGAACATATTTTAATTATAATAGTTATAAAAACTGTTAGTGATATTAAAAAGCTGATTCATCCTAATTCCAAGGGTCAGGCCTAGCTTTATTCCTTTTCTCTTGATTCTCATTAAACACTCACTGAAATTGAGAAATGAGGTTATCTATAAAGAGATATTCTTTCCTCCCTATCTTCTATTGACCTTAGCACCCAAAATAACCTAGTGAATGTCAGATTAAATAAACTGTATATCATTTAATGTTTTATTAAGTAACTGTCATCTTCTATAACTTGGGGGCCTAAGTTATTATTACTTTTTCTGTTTGTCTTCTAACTGCATAGAAATATTGAGTCTTTTGTCAACCACATTTAATTCTTTCCCCCAAGTAATGACTTCTGAAAGACTAATTCTCAAATGACTTGTAGGTTTAGTTCATTGTCTAGCAAATAACTTAGAGAGGAAAATAGGATTACCTGGTTTTGTTCTATAGAGCTCATAACATAATTTTGTGGCTATTTCTTGCAGTGTGATAGAGAGATTCCTGATCTTCTTGGAACTATTCATATTATCCATCAGTAGTAGAGAAACATTCCTCTGAAGTTCTTCTTTGAAATTATGCAGTTTTTTAATTTTTTCCATTTCTGTCTTTGAAGTTAAGTGAACTCCAGGTCAAAAAAAAAAAAAAATGAAATGATAAAAAGTATTTTAATCCCTCAATGCAACCATCATCTTCTTTTTGCAGAAATAGTATTTAAGAATATTAAAGTTCTAGGGAAGCAGTCATTCAAAAGAATGTGAGAAAGAGATTAATTACCATACTGTAAGGATCTAGTTATAAGCCCCCTTCGTGTTTATATATCACCTATAATCATTTCAAAGCTTCAATTCACAGTAAACTTTTTTATAAAACTCATACAATTCTAGGTGTTTTCCTTTTCAATCAAAACATGGGTAATACATACATATGCTTCCTAAGACTCCCAGTCCAATCAGCTGCAGAAGGCACAGAAGAGTAAGAGCCAAGGTTCTTCGATGCCATACATGGGGAGGAGCAGGAGGTGCTGTGGAAAGCAAAATTAGCAAAGAGGCCTGGATATGATATACATTTTCATTTGAATCATTTAATCATTCATTCATTTCAGTTTTTTTCCCCTTCCTAACATGTCCCCAGTAAAGTAATGTGCTTTGCTGGAAACTCAAGGATATTTTAAAATACCTTTTTAAAGAATATGTTAAGAATAGGTCGAAAACATTTTGTTCAAGGAGAAGCTGTTATTTAGTAGGTCATTTACTAAACAAAGGCAAATATGGAGTTTAGAAAAGATAAAAGAGTAAACCAATCAATCTGAATACAACATATATTTTCTGTAAAAATTGGAGAAATTGAATAGCTGGCAGTTAACAGAGAGGTCAATCTGTGTATTCCTTCCTCAAGTAGACAATTGTGAATGTCGAAGAAAATAATTTTAGTTATTTATGTTTTCCCCAGAAAATCATGACTGTGGGACATAAATGATAGGCAGTCTCCTTGTAATAAATATCTCTGGGTATTCTTTTGTCAGCCAGATCTTAGGCCAACTCTATCCTATTTCCTCCTTAGAATTTGTCATGTTTTTTAGTAACAAACTTCTGTTGAACGCTTTCTTTTTATTAAACAAATAAATCCCAAAATAGATAATTTCCTTATTAAAAAATAGGAATTATGAACTTTATATTATAAGTTATTTTACTTAAAAATAAAATCAGAAATGAAAGAAGAGATATTACAAGTGGTATCACAGAAATACAAAAGATCATAAGTCTACTACAAACAATTATATGCAAACAAATTGGACAATGTAGAAAAATGAACAAATTACTAGAAGCATAAAACCTACCAAGACTTAATTATAATTAAATAGAAAATATGAACAGACTGATTATTACTACGGAGATTGAGTGAATATTCAAAATATCTCCCAACAAACAAAAGTCCAAGATCAGACAACTTTACTGGTAAATCCTACCAAACATTCAAAGAATAAACACCAATCCTTCTCAAACTCTTCCAAAAAAATAGAAGAGGAGGAAACATTTACAAATTCATTTTAAGAGGCCAACATTACCCTGATACACAAACCCGACAAAGACACTAAAAGAAAAGAAAATTACAGGCCAGTATTCCTGATGAACATAGATGCAAAAATATTCAATAAAATATTAGCAAACTAAATTCAGCAATACATTAAAAGGGTCATATACCACTATAAATTGGATCAATTCCAGGGATGCAAGAATGGTTCAACTTCTACACATCAGATAAAGTGACATACCACATAAACAAAATAAAAAATAAAAATCATATGATCACCTCAATCAATGAGGAAAAAGCATATTACAAAATTCAACATCGATTTATGATAAAAAAAAAAACTTCTCAATGAAGTGGGTATAGTGAGAATGTACCTCAGCCTAATATAAACCATATGTGACAAACCAATAGCTAATATCATACTCAATGGTGAAAAGCTGAAAGCTTTTTCTCTAAAATCAGGAACAAGATTTTAGAGATTTTAAGCTGAAAGCTTTTTCTCTAAAATCATGAACAAGATTTTAAAGGCCACTCTCACCACTTTTATTCAACATAGTATTGGAAGTTCAACTTAACTGCTTCTGTTTTTTTAGTGAGTTGGATAAAAATCTCCAAAAGAAATAGGAGAAATATTAGGGTAGTATATGCTTGACTTAGTAGAAAATCAAATGAGATCCTTTAACAGTATCTCTGTCTGTCTATCTTTCTGTCTCTTTGTCTCTCTGTCTCTGTCTCTCTCTTTTACACACACACACACACACACAAGCATTTCTTTATTACAAAAAACATACAAAACCATGACTTTCCTGGACAACATATGTTCCTTGTTCCATGGTTTCTTTTCACAGGGGGAAAAAAAAAAAACATTTTCCAATCCACGCATATAAAAATTCTATCCTATCTTAATTACCTTCAGTGTGATATTAAAACTAGAAAATTTGTAAAAGGCTGTGTTCAATACATTGACCAGTGCCTTAAAAAAAAGCTTTATAATCATTTTATATGGACAGTTTTGGTAAAAATGGGAGACTTAAGCAAAACTTCAAATGGAAATTCACTGTCAGTTCACTAATATCTAAGATTACAGGGCTTCTACTTTTATACTTCTACCACTTCCTGTACTTTACTTTTACCATCTTACAAAAAAACATCCATAGTTCAAAATCTTACCTTTTATCTCAACCTGGTCAAATTCCTGTATACTTTTTATCTTACTGGAGCAGTCCTGGAATTTTAGATCTGCATAAGTGACTTCGTCAGACATTGATGGCTATGAAAGGAAATAACTACAAAGGGGGGAAAAAAAAGAATGATGGTAAACAGAGTTGAATTTAAACAGGAGTGGATATTTCAGTTTATAAACTGAAGCTTAAACTTATAAGCTTAAACTTCTGTTTTGAAACTCACTGTACCAACCACCCATATGTCTGCAAATGAGCTGCTGGTCTACTGTGACCTCACGCAACCACAGAGGGCTGTTGCAAGAGGGAGCATTCTTCCTCTTTCCTTTATTCTCATTTCTCTATATGTGACAATTATAGTGTAGTTTTTAAAATTGTATTTGGATATGATAAGTATTGTACAAGGGGAGACAAATTACTAGAGCAACATGATGCAGAAATAACAATTAATTGGAGAAAAACTTTCAAGCAGAGAAATAATAAAAAGTATACAACCCTCAAACAATTACTAGTCTATTGAAATGGCCTGGCACAGATGTTCTGCACATTTCATGGCAAAGATTGTGACAGAGGAGGTTTGCCTTAGCCAGGAGACTGCACATACACAGAGAACACTCTCAGAGAAAGGGAGAGTGCAAACTCCACCTTGCCACCTTGTTACATTGTATAGTTAGCCTAAGAGGAACTAGGGAATACCTGATTTCTCTAGTAATAAGAAATAGATTAAGGGATCTGGGACCCAGCAACCATGCTAGGGGTTATGCATACAGATGGCCAAGGTTGGGATACCAAATGCCGCAGAAATAACTTTGCAGGAGAGCTAAGTTCAGCCTTGCTGTTTTTCTGCAGACTGGCTCAATCAATTTGAGTCAGCTCTCAGCTAAACTACTGAAAGGAGGGAGAAATGAGTCAGCAGAGCTATTCAGATTAAGTGTCTGATAAGTCTGACGCAGCATACTTAGGAGGCAGGAGTTTGTTCTTTTCTTGATCGAATACGCAAGGTGGAGATGAGGGTTGGGGAATAATTATTTTTGAGTAAGTTCTTTCTAATTTTCATTAGTAAACCGTACTTTGAAATTCTTATTGGTATTGCCACATATAAATACCATAAAATGGATAGCTGTTATTTATTTATTTATTTTTTAGCAAAGAGAATATGTAAAGATTTTTTAAAATATTTAATAAAAAAATTAAGTAAAATAATAGGTTCCTTTTACAAGAACAGCTAAGCACTGAAACAAAGGGAGGAATCACATATGCAAACAAATGACAAATATGCACAATCAAAATGAAGAAAACTTTAAAGTTCTTGAAAGAAAGAAGAAAATTAAAAATAAGAAAACGTGCTTTTGGATTATAAGCATCAATATTATAAAGAAAAATTGCTTCTCCTAAATTTATCTAAATATTTAATGTCAACTTAATTAAAATACTAATAGATTTTTTTAACCTGGTACATGAAAAAAGCTATTGAAATTTATCTAAACATCTAACTATGAACATATTGCCAGCAACATTTAAAGGAAAATATATGCAAAACATGTAATTATTATCTCTTCCTAAGTACTTTATTAATTCTGGTTTCATCATTACAACTCTTTGAACTAGGTACTATTTTTATCACCTTTATTTTACAGATGGGGAAGTGTGCTATAAAGAGTTTAAGTCCTGATCCAACATCATACAGTTGATAAGTGGTAGAGTTGAAGCTCAACCAAGCTTCCTGGTTGCCTAGTTCAAATATATATCCACAGGCAATATACTTCCTATGGTGGGAATAGACTAGCCTTTCCAACCCTTGTATATAGATTTGTATGTAAAGAATGGAAACATGAACATTTTTGCCTCTTTTTAATTCTCCCCCACCCTCCACTACACTATGGAGCCACCCAAAAACATTAACATTTTAGAAGAAAATGCACATTGGTGGATTTATTTATTATTGTCTTTGAATGGGAAAGACCTTTTGAAACAAGACAAGAAAAGCCATTTAAAAGATTAACACAATTGACAATATAAAAGTTAGATTCATTTATATGACAAAATACAATAAAAATATCCATGGCAAACTGAATAAAATTATATATATTTCATATATATCGTAAAGGATGAAGAGCTAATCTTATAAATTTACAGAGAAATTTTACTAATCAATAGAAAAGAAATATTAATAAGAAAGTTGACATTGATACAATGTTTTTCTCTTTTTTGGAAGAAACTATTCTATAATAATTTAAAATTTATTTTTAGCAGAAGAACAAAGAGAGATGGGAGAGGAAGACTTTTACTTTTTATATTATATCTTATGGTGCTCTTGTACATATGATTCTTCTCTCTTTCTTTCTCTCCTTCCTGCCTTTCTTTCTATCTCTACTTGCTAAATCTCTATATTCTAAAGAGAAAATATAAGCAGTGATTCTTCTCTTTAAAAGGTAATAGAAATATAATAGAAATATAAATAATCTAGTTAGTATCTCGGTTTGGAGTCTCTCAAGTTTTGTCCTCTCAGTTTTATGAATTTTGTCTAACTTTTATAATGATCTTTTTGTAATTTTCATGTAATACAAGCCACAAGTCTGTGGCTGGAACTAGAGATCTCCTTATTGTTCATTGTATAAAACCTACTAAGCATATATAAAAGTTAATGGTCAAATAATAAGTATATCCACACCAGTTTTTTTGGGACATTTACTAAGAGACTATATCACACATGCAGAAGTAATAGCAGTTGCTTAGCTGTCCTCTCACCTAACACACTCTGGAGCATGTGATATAATAATAATAATATCATCATAATATTATTAATAATGTTAATAATCCAGCATGTCTGGATGTCAGACACCAAGTAGGAATTCCAATGCTGCACATGGTTGTTTTAAATTCATGGCTAGGGAATCAACAGCTTCCCTGCTGCCATGATTAAGGGCCCGATTTTAAGCATTTTGATCACGACATTATAATATGGGAAAATCTTGCATCTTCTCTATTTTGATGACTCAGCATTTTCACCACAGACTGTAGGATGTGTCAGGACCTATCGCTTGTATCCAGATTGACTATTCGAGCATTCAACTGTAGCCAGTTACTTTGGAAACTTACAGGAGCTAACTGGGAAGCAAATTAGTATTGGATGAGTTGATTCTCTCCTGTCATTCTAGTCTTGACTCCAAGATGTGGCTGACATTTATCCCAATCCAGCTGAGCAAACACTTCAATGTATAAGGGCTGCATGGCTGGATCACTGGAGCAGACAGCCACTGGAGGGGAAGACACTGTTCCACACAGCATGTAGAAAGCCGGAAAGGATGTCAGTCTTGCTTTTGCAACAACAAAGTAAAGCTGGATAATTTTCAAATTCATAACTTTTCTTAAACCCATCAGAGATCTGAGGTCACAGAGTAATCAACTAAACTGAGAACTAAGGAAAGACAGGCATCTGCAAGGAGAGACAGAGCACAAAATCTCGCTTATCCGAGGAAAGGTAAATATTCAAGTCAAATAAGCTGTTGTAAAGAATTCAGCTAAAATTTGTAATAGGTTGCTAAAGGCAGAGTGTGGGTTTGTGTGTGAGTGTGGAACTCCTTAGAGCCACTGACACAACAGTGAATCATACCCGTTTGAAGGCACTTTACAGACAGACCTCACAGGAGGCTTGAAAGTTTAAGAGCGAATTAGGAGACTAGACAGTTTCCTTATAATGAAGGCTTGGGGGAGGTGAACAACAACCATTGTACAAAAGACACAAAGTCCTAACAGGGAATTTCTCCCCTACAGAGCAAAAGAATGAAGCCACTGAGGGGCAAAGCAACAAATTCTCTCTCTCAGGCCAAAGGCTCATTACAGCTGGAAGTGAAATAGAAATGTCTCTGTCTTCCAAGGGGAAAGACAGGAAAACTCTGTGACAGTATTTACACTGGCTTCTAGGAGTCCTCTGCTAAACCCAGCTCTACTTATTCTCAGTATTAAAGCCCAATTAATATTTTCCAAATGACTGAAAGGCAACAGAAAATTCACTGTGCTTATTTATGGAATAGCAAGTTGTTATGTCAGGTTCTGGCCTTCACAAGTCATAGAAAGTTTACTGAATGAAGCATAACCATAGCTACTGAGATTTTGATAAAGTCAGTTTTTAGTGAAAGAAACTTCATAGCACAAACTTCTAAATCCAGGCTGCCACAACAAGTGAAATGAAATACAAAACAGAAGCCTATGTACTTATACATCAGAATGCTTGGTCTGGTAGTCACCATCTCTTCCTTTCCTTATTTCTCAAGGCCACTGAGATTTGATGAGGAACCAAGTACCCACTAGCTTAGTGCAGCAGTCACTGGAAGTGAGACGGATCATGAGAATGATGGCAGGCGATCATTTCGAACCCAGACCATCTTCAGATCATAGTACACTAGACAGAACAGGCTCTGTTGGCCATTATCTTCCATATTCTTGGTTACTGTGCTTCAATGCAGTTGGATTCCAAATTTCATAAAATATAGCTATCAATAATACAAACTTTTTTTCATTTTCTACTTTGGGTCTAAAACATTCCATACTCATTCTGCAGTAACTCACCTCAAAAACCAATACTGGAAAAATCTGAGCAAACGGGGGAGAAAAGTCTAGGCATATGTCATGATTTAAAGGTTTAAAAAGAAGCAATACATGCTGAAGAATCAGAGGGAAACATTTTCTTATGAAACAGTTAATAAAATAAACAAGAGAAAACTTTAACATAGCCTTGAGATTCCAGAAAACATTGCATTTATTTAAAAAGTAATTTGTGTGACTGAAGTATTTCTTAAGGTTCTACCTGCCTTCCTTCCCACTTAACAGGAACTGATAATACCAAGTTTATGGTCAAGGAAAAAACCATTAAGCCACAACTGCCAGCCACATTCATGAGGTTGAGAAGAATGCATAGATAGGCATCAGAGGATAGAAAAGGTAAATCTGGTGTTTTAAAAAGACCATAGCTTTGATGTGCACACAAAAGTTAACTTTATTCTTTCATTCCATTAAACTCACTCTGAGACTTATATTTCTCCAGACCTGAATAGGTTGGGGTCAGTTCCATAGCTTTTGTGGTCCCTTTCAGTAATAAGAACAGTCTTGTTTCAGAAATTATTATGTCTAGCAAAATATCAAAACTCCAAGCTCTTCTATCCAAACTGAAACTTCAGTT